TAAGTTTACATTATACTTATTCTTACACCATTAGTGTAACCTTTTCACCTTGACATAATTAACTTAGCTAGACATAATGAAAGAAAGCAAAATAGATAAACAAAATAAGAACATAAAAGTTAACTAAGTAAAGGAAAGGAAATGAAAGGCATAAACTTAATATTAATGAAAACAAAGCATAAAAAATACAAAGAGAGAAAGGAAGAGCATGATCTTGATCTGAACACCAAGATGCCTAAATGCATGGCAAATGCCTCCTTTTATAGGCCAAAAATGGGAACTATTGATTTGATGACTAATTGATAAGTGGGTGACCAACTTTTGACTTGGTGACAATCCTTATCTTCTCTTGTCTGCCCAAAACGTCATTGATAACGTCAAAACTGGAGCCAGTTGCAAACATGAAAGTTGTAGGCAATTGTCTCAGCTTTCTTGTGTAAAAACTTCAGCTCATTTGGACTTCTAGAACTCCAGATATGGCCAAAATACCGAACAGTGCTCGGGCTGGAAGACAGATTCGGGCTTCTTTGTTGTTGCTACAATTTGGACTTGATAATGGCCTTTTTAGATCTTGGGCTCCATATGAAAGTTGTAGGCCTATGTCTTACCTTTCCATCCATATAAATTTGACCTAAATCTGAGATATATAGCTCCAGATATGACCCATTTACCGAACAGTGTTCCGGTTTGGATTGCACCGACATCTCTTTTCTAAGTTTGGCCATCTCTTTATCCTTGCAATTTAAGTTCTTCAAGTCATCAATCAATCCTTTCATTTATGTGATAGGCCTGCATTAAAAATAGACATTTACCATAAATTAAAGGTATCTTATATTATTAAATATATTATTATAAAACATGCTTTGGTTAAGGAGTTATTGATACTTCAAGTGCAAAATGATGATATAAAACCTTGATAAAAATGCACTTTTAAGTACTAATCAACTTTGTATTAATGGATTACATTAATTATGTAGTAGTAATTGTTATGTATTTATTTCCATGTTTAATTTTGTATTGATGAATTTGTGCATTGATTGTCATGCATGCATTAATTTTGTATATCAATTGATATATGTTAATATGCAATTAAATGTCGTGTGATATACATTTGTAAAGTTGATTTAGTTATTGAGATGATAGATGACTGAAACTAGTGTTAATAACACTAATACACCAATTACCTGGTAGTGTAGGTAGTGTAATTTTATTTATTTTTAATTAAAATGTTTAATTTGAAATTGGTAATTTATTGAAATCTTAAAATATATGTTATTTTAAGTATATGATCCGTACATAATTAATTATGATAATTATTATAGATATTGTTGATGAACGTAATGAGCTTTTGATTTTAAATGCAATGTGAAATTATTGTTGGCATAATTAATGTTAAAGATATATTTGCATGTTTCACACATCAATCAGGAAAAGTTGGAAAAGAAATATGTCTATTTATAAATATTGCTTAATTGGAAAAAAGAAGAAGAGAGAAACCATTTAGAAAATACATTATAGTCAAATTATTGTTGGCATAATTAATTAATGTTAAAGATATATTTGTATGTTTTACACATCAATCAGGAAAAGTTGGAAAAGAAATATGTCTACTTATAAATATTGCTTAGTTGGAAAAAAGAAGAATCAGAGAAACCATTTAGAAAATATATTATAGTCAAATTTCCATTGCAATTAATTAATTCTAATATTTATGGTTTAAGAAATATGAGGGCAAGGCATGAGAGTGTTTATTTCATCACATTTATATATTACTTTTACTCGATGATTATTATTATTATTATTATTATTATATAATAAAATAAAAATTTTAAATTGCTTCATAAAATACATGAACCTTGTCAATAATCAATTAGATATGAGAATAAGAACTTTACAAACTAATAGAAGACGTGAGCATTTTTCTAATTTGTTTTGAGAATTATGTGATAAAAGAGGAATAGAACAACAATTGACTATTCTTGGAACACCACAACAAAATAAAGTTATGAAGAGAAAAAATGGAAAATTGATAGGTCAATTATGACATAAGCGAATTTTTCTATCATCTATTGAGGTGATGCATTATTAATTGTAACATATATAGTTATTTGTATACCCTCTAAGTTAGTTATAACTACATCATATGAATTATGGATAAAATGTAAACCTAACTTTAGTATTTTGAAGTCTTGAGGTTATGTTGCTTATGCTTATGATTCTTCTCATAAAAATAAAAGACTAAAATGACGTTTAGGAGTGCTTTTCAAAAGTGCTTCTGAAAAAATTTGAATTTTTTGTTTTACTTTAAATTAATATGTTTTTGATATTTTCAAATCATTTTGATGTACTAATTTCAAAAATAATTTTTTAAAAATAAAAAAATATTATTGGCATACTTTTCTGAGTGAAAAGCACTTTGCAAAGCAACCACAACCACACTCCCAAACACGCTTAAGTCTATGAGGAAAAATATATCTTTATAAGAAATTTTAAATACTTACATGTTTTTATATGTGAGAAAGAAAAGGTAAATATAAATGAATTTGAATAACAAGATGTCACATTCTTAAATAATGATTTTCCTTGCAAGGAGAAAGTAGGTCAAGACCTATATATTTATAAAACTCATGAACAGAATGCTTCTACTATATAAATCCAAACGGGTATACTTCCAAGTGGGAGAAATTTAAGGGATGATGAATTAGTTTCAACTCAAACTCAATTGTTATCCATGGTGAATCCATAATAAATTATTGGTTCAAGTGGGAGTAATATTGCCATTGATTTATCAATGAATCAATTTCAACTATGATGAACTATAAATTATAGCATTCCACAAGATGGAAAGGAGAAATAAATAAATAAATAAATGAAAACTTTATATGCCTTGTTAAGAAAAATTAGATTAAAGATATGGAAAAAAATGGTTTGAATATATGAAATCAAACCAAGTTTGGAAATTGGTTTATTTGCTAAAAGAACACAAGGTCATTGGAAACAAGTGGATGATTAAAGTAAAGTGAAAAACTGATGGTAGTAGAAAAAATACAAGCTTGATTAGTGGCTAAAGGATACACATAACATAAAAGAATTGAGTATATAAAGCTTTTTTCAACTGCTATGAGGCTTGCCTTGATAAGATTGATTCTAGCTATAACAATTAATTTAGATCTTGAATTACATCTAATGGATGTAAAGACTCCTTTTTATTAATGGAGAATTAGAAAAAGAAATCAATATGAGACAACCTATAAGTTTCGTCAAGGAAGGTCAGGAACACAAAGTGTGTAAGGCTTTTGGAGTCAACTTATGATCTAAAATAGTTTTCATGACAATGGTATATTCAATTTCACAACGTTATCAATTTCTAATTACATAAGTTGTATGATATGGATACATGTTTGTGTTTAATACACTTGTTAAAAGAATTATGAGAAGTATGTCAGACAAAGAAAAATTTAACCTTCTCACACAAGCAGTCATCTTTATTATATTGTGATTAATGGAGATGAGACAATTTAAAGTTTGTTATTTAAGTAATAAGAGAGTGTCCAAGCATAATAAATGAAGTGTCAGTGTCCCTTCAATAATATATATATATATAGCTTTGATCCTTAGTGATTATTTTAAATATCATTTTATGTGTTTTAGTGCCATATATAGTTTTTGATGAGTCAAAAGTGAATGGATAGATAAGTGAACTCAAAGTTAGACATTGAGTATGTCTAAACCATCATATGTATGGTATTATTGATAAAGACATACACTCCAAGGAAAAGGAGATGATATTGTAGCATATGTTTCATAATATGATCAATAAGGGTAATACAAATTAAGATATCAATTTGATATTATGTAAGACATTAAAGATTAGAAGTTATCTTTATTTGTTCTCTTATGACTCTTGTCTATTTCAAGTAATCTTTATTTGTCCTTTTTATGACTCATTTAGATTTGATGTTCGCTATCTTAGTATGTTGCCAAAAGATTATGAACGAATCGATTTATAGGGGCGTTACTTGAAAAATGAGTGAAGTAGAAGTTAACGAAGGAAGAAAAACAAATTATTTTGGTATTATCACATCAAGTTGTATTCATTGGTCAACGAATTATGTTTGTTAATATGATAAGATATAATTATGAATACAAGAAGTATAATTAATGAAATTGTGAGAGATAAAAATGTTACAAATGATATAGGGTATTATATACTATATATATTTTATGTCCTATAATTCAAGAAGATATATATTCCTAGTAGTTGAGCTCTTGAAATATGCCTAGTCATACAACTCTTTGTTAATTATGAATATTGCAAAATCAATAAGAGAGTTGATTCCACCATGTGGGAAGAGAAGATAATCAATAAGAGAGTTGATTCCACCATGTGTGAAGAGAAGATGAAAGAAAAAAATGGATTTGAATCACCTATGATGGATCAACACAATCCTCTTAGGATATGTTTATAGTGTTTCTTCCCACTACTATTTTTTCCAACATAAACTATAATTTTTTAAATAATAAAAGCAAAGTTAAAAAATGACTAAACTATACAATGTAAAGTTTAATTTACCCAACAAAAAAAAAATGCATGTTTTATATGATCAACATATAGTAAAATGAGCGAGATTTCATTACAAGGAATGAACATGATGGTCGACAGTAAAGGATGTGAGATGCAACTAGGTTTTTACTTGGCATGGAGAATGAGATTACGCAGTAAAAAGAAGAATTCATATGATTGTAAAACTTTTGTTGTAGCAATTCCATCAGAGTATATAATTGTGGTTTTAGATAATCCATAAGTACTTGTTTTTGTGTTACAATTTGTTTTTTAAATTATTTTTTGTTTTTAAAAAATATTATTTTGATGTTTTTAAAAGATATTTTGAATGATTTTGATATGTTGATATAAAAAATAAATAATTAAAAAATTATTATTTTAATACATTTTCAATTAAAACATACTCTATTTTGAATGATTTTAATACACTACAATATCAAACACACAAAAAGCAATCGCCACTTTAGTTGGGAAGCATTAAATTCGAGCAGCTCCTGGATGGAGATGGTAGCTCTATAATGAATCTTTGAGACCTAGTAACAATTCAAGTACATAACCTTCCAATTAAATCTGTGTTCGTAATTGTCAGCATCTACGTATGGTTGATGAATGCCAAGATGGATTCGGAAAGTCCCACCGAGGACATTCTTGTTTGGATGCTCCATTGAAGGACTTAAAGACACTTCCAAACACGTTGAACTTGCAGAAGCCCGTGAAATACCAGCTGCACTTGTGACAGGATAAGGAGAATTTGGCAACACAATTAAGATGTTAAGAGGCTCCTGGTCCATGTTTGTTAGATGTGGTTATACCTGATAGCATCCTGGAGACAAGTGATATCATAGGCGAAGTTACTGAGTAAATAACTCTTTAGAAGAGGAAAAACAGGAAATAATTACAAAGAGCAATAAAAAGGGTAGGCCTTTCTAGGTCAAATGCCTTTAGAATGCCATTGCATGTTGCCTCACTATTATGGATCATACAACAAAACTACCAAAATAAGGAAAATACTTTAGCTATTCTATTACTTCTCTTTTTCTGTTTTGGGATTCTTTTAGCACCTTGGCATACTCCAAGATTTTCAATTGCTCAACTTCGACTCACCTTTCCTATAAACAATCCGATGTAAATTACTTAATCAGCTAATTATCATATGCCAAACTAAACTAGACATGTGACATCCTAATTCCAATTGAAAGTAGGGTTGCTTACTTGAGATTGGCTTCTCTCTAATAACTGAACAATAGTTACTTCAGATGTCTCCTCATTTAAATGTTGAATAAAGCATAGGACGAGGGCTGGCAGTTTCATATCATTCTCTTTTCACAGCAAGTACTCCCTTCTCTATTCCCTGCAAGAACTTCCTCTCAATTGTAATTTCTTCAAGAACTTGACATAAAAAGCTGGGTTAAAATCAAGCAGGTTCTCTGCAAAAGGCTTCAATGACAGGAAACAAATCGTTACCTGATTCAGAACTGAACTCCTCAACTGAAGGAAAGCAGTAATTCATCATGTCGAAAAAATATAAAAGACTTCCTAATATAACATATCCAGAAATTTTGACACCAGAATTCAAATTCTAATATTGGACTTGGTCAGAATATTGTAGTTCATTATTTGATCCATGGGCAAAATATAAAGGCCTCTAGGCCCTCCTCCATTCACCACTGCTAGCAAAAAGAAAGGCTGAGCTCTTCCGTCTTGAACACTCAAAGTTCCAATTCCTTATCTTTCAAAGGGTTTCTTCTTCAAGAAGATGATACGCAAGGAATACCTAAAAGTATAAACTTCTGATAAACAGGTAGATATCTATAGACAAGTACTAAAAGTTCTTTTCACTCATCTTGAACATGGTAAGAAAAACAAAAGTTGATGGCATATACCTCAGTGTTGAGAAGCTCGGGAGCATGAGAATGTGAACCAAAAGTACTTTACTATACTGCTTTGATGTCCTTAAGCCTCTTTCGGTCACCAAGAAGCAAACCAGGACGAGGAATGCGGGCTTTTGTTCCTATTATTTATAGTATTATAAGATAGAATAAGAGCTCTCGCTTTTTCTGTTATCAACTTAATTAAGATCCCAGTGTTTGAAACAAAATACCCACTTCCACTCACAAGACAACAAAACATTAAGACTTCTCAACTTGATTGTGGAATGTAAGGTATAAAACTGTACCCAGGAGCCTTTTTTAAATTTCTTTCTTCCATTAATTTTCTCATCTTCCAAGCATTATCCCATGAACCAGCTGCAGCATATATGTCTGCTAAAACAACATAGTTCACTGAATTTTCTGGATCCATTCTGAAAAGATGTATGGCTGCTTCTTCTGCAAGGGGCATATTGCCATAGATGTAGCATGCACCAAGAATGGCACCCCAAAGCGAGGCATTAGGTTTGATATTCATCTTGTATATCAAATTATAAGCTTCTTCCAACAGCCCTCCACGTGCAAAAAGATCAACCATGCAAGAAAAATGTTCAGCTCGCGGTAGGATATTGTATTTGCTGATCATGTTTTTGAAGCACTCCCATCCTTCGCCTGTCAATCCACAATGATTACAAGCAAAGAGAAGAGATAAGAATGTAATGTCATTTGGCTTCAAACCTTCGTACTCCATCTTCTTAAACAGGGCAATTGCTTCATGTCCATGTCCATGGTTCCCATATCCAGTAATCAATGATGTCCATGAAATCACATTTTTCTCCTCCATCTCATTGAAAGCACGGTTAGCATCTTTAATCTCTCCAGATTTTGCATACATATCAATAAGAGCATTTCCCATGGCCACATCATAAGTGGGTTTACATTTTAAGGCAAGAGCATGGATTTGTCTTCCCACACTCAAAGATGATATGTTAGCACATATATTAAACATGGAGCATAATATAACATCATCTATCTTCATGTGCATCTGCTGTATTTCTTTGAACAAATCCAGGGCCTTGCTACTGTAGTTACTGTCCCTTGCATATCCAGTCATCAGTGCCGTGCAAGATATCATATCTTTCGTTGGCATACTTCTATATAAGCAATGAGCACTTGCTAAGCTTTCACATTTTGCATACGCATCAATTAGCGAACCACTCAAAGAAATATGTGATCCATAACCTAGTTGGATGATCAATTGATGTATTTGGCGGACTCTGATGACATCATTAGCCATACCGGACGCCTTTAAAACACTCCCAAAGGTGAAAAGATCAGGGCCCATACCTATTGAGTGCTTGTATTTCAAGTATATCAGAGAAGAACCCACACAAACAAAAATATAACAAAGAACAAAACGTTTTCTTTCAAGATTTTAAATAAAAATAGTGATACCTTCTTGCATCATCGAACGAAACATTCGAAATGAATCACCAGAAAAACCCTGAACAGCATATCCGCCAATTATTGCATTCCAAGAAACAACATCCCTTTCTTCCATCATTCCAAACAAGTAACAAGCATCCTCCATCTTTCCACACTTGGAATGCAAATCAAGCAAAGCGCTTTGCACGATCAGATTACTAGCAAATCTACTCTTCTCGAGACACCCTTGTATTTGCATCCCTCTCTGCAAACACCTCAAACCAGTACATGCGCGTAACACGCTCCCATAAGTAAACTGATTGGCCTTAAAACCTGCTCTAAGCATGTCTAAAAACACCAATAATGCATCTTGGTAACACCCATTTTGTGAGTACCCAGAAATCTGAGCAGACCATGACACAATAGTTCTTTCAGGCATTCTATCGAACATCTTTCGTGCACTGACTGTATCACCAAGTTTCGAGTACAATATGATTAACTTGGTGCTTAGGTGAAGATTTGAAGCAAACCCGTTTGTTAAAATTTGGTTGTGAATCAAATGGCCTGGTTTTTTAGCTTTTGTTTCAATGCAAAGTTGCAAGCTTTTCATGTAGGAAGAGTAGTCTAACTGGGATGGGTTAGAGGCATTGAATTTTGGGTGTGCTTTGGAAAGGTAGGCAACCGTTTGTGTGTTTGGACTCCTCATGGTTTGATCACGAAACAAGATCGGGGTGCTATTTATGGTGATTAATTCTGTATAAGGTTGATTTTCAAATTTTTTAGTCAAAGGTTTAGTTCAGTTGGGTTTTGATTCACCGGAGAATTTCATGTTCTTGGATTATTTTGCAAAATAATTTTTATTTGAAAATATATTTTTAAATCGACCAAGCAAAGCTCTGAGATGAACAACACTCGAAATAAATAAAGGAAGCAAGTTGCAGCGCAAGAACTGAAGAACACATGTGCCGTGGTAGGCCATGCAAGATGACTCCAGGAGAATCTTGTTTTGCTGTTTATCCAATTGTCTTGCAGGCTCAATATTTCAACAATGCTCTACCAAAATTAACAACAGTACTACTGCTGAGTTATAAATTGAGAGTAATAGAAAGTTCTACTCTGGCCTGAATTTCTTCCACTGATTGCAAGGCCAAAAGACTGAATTTCTTCCACTGATTGCAAGGCCACAAGATAATATAATCAGTTCAACCATATTAATAGTGCAAGGCTATTATTCCAGAAGACGATGCTCAATATTTTGTTTTCCTTTGGTTTCTTTCAATTTTATTCTTTATTTTTTTTTATTATTATATAATTAAATAAAAAATATTTTTTAAAAAATTAAATATAATTTACCATTCCTGTCATGGATTTAATTTTTTGACAGATTAAAACTATAAAAACTGATCAATTTAATATATTTAATTTTTATAAAATTAATTTGTTTTTTATAAAATTATTATAGATTTATCATTTAGTTTATGAATTTAACATATTAAATTATAATCTAAATTAATGTAATATTTTATTTTTATAAATTATTAACTTTAATTAATTTTTTTTTTAATTCAAGTCATGGTTTTGATATTAGTTTAGAAGTTGTTTATTTATGTGACTGTTTCTGCTTCTTGAAGCAAACCATAACAAATAATTATTTGCTAAAACAAAAAAAATATAGATAAATATAAAGATAATTATTATTTATATGGCCTAGTGCATTTCATGTTTAAAATGTAGGTAAATGCAAAATAGCTTTGAGTTGCTTTTTTTTTTTTTTTGTGTAGAGTGATTTAATTCATTTTGTACTGTGTATTTTTGTGAAATGAATAATAATTTTTTTTAGAAAATTAGTGCAAAATGAATTAAATCACCCGTACTATTTACATGAATAATAAAAAAAATTCAAAAAAATTAATATTTAATATTATTCAATGATACTATGTAAATTAGAAGAAGATCGCATGATGATGTAGCATTTGCAAAATTTGATCATAATTTTAATTTTATTCCAGATAATATTTTACCTGATTTTAGTGCACGCTCAAAAAATCATAGAAATTGTAGTCTTTTTCAAATGAATTTGGTATATAATGGAATTGTAAATAGTTTAATGAAATAATAAAAAATATTTTGTAAAAAAATATTATTTATTTCATGATATAATAGAAGTATTTACAATATTTAAATTTAAAACCATCAATATTAATTTATATTTTTTAGTTATTTTATAATCTCAATTAAAAATTTTTTTTTTAACCAAACACATTAAATTACTTTTTATTCAATCTCAATTTTAATTATAGTTTTAACCAAATATATATAAATATTAAACTAACCTCAATTAAAATATTTTTTATAAAATAATTTTTAAATTACAATCATAAAAACTACTTCATAAATTTTGCATGCGTACCCATGAAAAAATATCATTAAAAGAACATTCACTTGCGTAAGAACACAGAATATAATACAATGAAGAATATGAATTTAAGATATATGATTTTAATTCAAGTCATGGTTTTGATATTAATTTAGAAGTTATTTATTTATGTGATTGTTTCTGCTTTTTAAAACAAACCATAACAAATAATTATTTGCTAAAGCAAAAAAAATACAGATAAATATAAAGATAATTATTATATATATGACCTAGTGCATTTCATGTTTAAAATGTAGGTAAATGCAAAATAGCTTTGAGTTGCTTTTTTTTTTTTTTTGTGTAGAGTGATTTAATTCATTTTGTACTGTGTATTTTTGTGAAATGAATAATAATTTTTTTTAGAAAATTAGTGCAAAATGAATTAAATCACCCGTACTATTTACATGAACAATAATTTTTTTTTTCAAAAAAATTAATCTTTAATATTATTCAATGATACTATGTAAATTAGAAGAAGATCGCATGATGATGTAGCATTTGCAAAATTTGATCATAATTTTAATTTTATTCCAGATAATATTTTACCTGATTTTAGTGCACGCTCAAAAAATCATAGAAATTGTAGTCTTTTTCAAATGAATTTGGTATATAATGGAATTGTAAATAGTTTAATGAAATAATAAAAAATATTTTGTAAAAAAATATTATTTATTTCATGATATAATAGAAGTATTTACAATATTTAAATTTAAAACCATCAATATTAATTTATATTTTTTAGTTATTTTATAATCTCAATTAAAAAAGGTTTTTTAACCAAACACATTAAATTACTTTTTATTCAATCTCAATTTTAATTATAGTTTTAACCAAATATATATAAATATTAAATTAACCTCAATTAAAATATTTTTTATAAAATAATTTTTAAATTACAATCATAAAAACTACTTCATAAATTTTGCATGCGTACCCATTAAAAAACAAGGGAAAAGGAAAAGGGAATGATAACGGGATTTGACACATTATTTGAAGGCGAGGACAAGTCTGAAGAGGAAGAAAATAAGAAAAAGAGATAGGAAAAAGAAAGTGAAAACGAAGAGGAGGATGCATAGTTTTTAAACCCGGCCCGGTTTAAGGCCCGAGTTCCGAGTTTTGACCGGGTCACCGGGTTTTGATCGGGTCGGCAGTGTCAATTTCTATTTTAAAAAAAATTCAAAACGACGTCGTTTTAGTAAAAAAACAAACAAAAGTCAACGGGTTGCAACCGGGTTTTGCTGGGTCATCCGGGTTTCCGGGTCAATCCGCCAGATCGGCCGGGTCATGGCTCACCTTATTTTTTCATCAACCCGGCCCGGTTCCAGCCCCAGATCGGACGGGTCCCGGGTCAACACGCCGGGCCTGACCAGGTTTTAAAACTATGAAAGGATGAAGCATATAAGAGAACCCGATATATAGAGAGAATCTTTCATGACATGGAGAAAAAAGAAACGAGTACATGAAGTTATATTGTAATCCAAAGAGCAAACAAAAAGCATAATGCACTTACGTATTAGCTCAGCAGTGAGAGAGACTTCTTCTCTTTCTCTACACCTGAATTTAAGTTTTATTATACACATTTATTATTCCCATGATATTTTATATGTTTACACCTGAATTTAAGTTTTATTATACACATTTATTATATGTTTTTTTTTTTGTGTATAGAGTGATTTAATTCATTTTGAATTGTGTATTTTTGTGAAATGAACAATAATTTTTTTTAGAAAATTAGTGCAAAATGAATTAAATCACCCGTACTATTTACATGAATAATAAAAAAAATTCAAAAAAATTAATATTTAATATTATTCAATGATACTATGTAAATTAGAAGAAAATCGCATGATGATGTAGCATTTGTAAAATTTGATCATAATTTTAATTTTATTCCAGATAATATTTTACCTGATTTTAGTGCACGCTCAAAAAATCATAGAAATTGTAGTCTTTGTCAAATGAATTTGGTATGTAATGGAATTGTAAATAATTTAATGAAATAATAAAAAATATTTTGTAAAAAAATATTATTTATTTCATGATATAATAGAAGTATTTACAATATTTAAATTTAAAACCATCAATATTAATTTATATTTTTTAGTTATTTTATAATCTCAATTAAAAATTTTTTTTTTAACCAAACACATTAAATTACTTTTTATTCAATCTCAATTTTAATTATAGTTTTAACCAAATATATATAAATATTAAACTAACCTCAATTAAAATATTTTTTATAAAATAATTTTTAAATTACAATCATAAAAACTACTTCATAAATTTTGCATGCGTACCCATGAAAAAATATCATTAAAAGAACATTCACTTGCGTAAGAACACAGAATATAATACAATGAAGAATATGAATTTAAGATATATGATACACCTCACAATTTAAGATATATGAATTTTTATTTATTTATTTATTTTAATTTTCTTTTTATATTTTTTTAAAAATTAAACCACCTCACAATGAAGCTTAAAAAATAACCTTGTGGATGGATAACCATTCACTAGTCCGGATGGATGGGAGGTTGACAGGCGATTATTTTTTTTTCATTTATTATAAATGTAGGCAACTAAATATGCCTTTCGAAGTCAGGAGATTCGAGACAAGTTGATACAAATTTATTTTGTGCTGGTTCATCATGTTATAATCCATCTCCAACGTGAAAAATAGAAGAAACAAACAAATACATGTGAGAATAAAATATCATTAAAAGAACACAGAATAACTTAAATCTACAAATATTAAAAAACCAAAATTTTCTCACTACGAAATCTAATGTTGATTTTCTCATCAAGACAAACATTTGAGCAAATGGGGAAACGCTATATAAACATCCAAAACTGTGTTGTACATTCACTTGCCGGGTTGCTTGTCTCCTTTCTTAAACTTCTTAGATTTCTTGTGCTTGAAGCCTAAATACTTTTCAACGTCGTCTTCTTCGTCGTCATCTCCACCCCTCCTCTTCTTACCCCCACCTTCTTTAAGTTTCTGCAGATGTGTTTGATCACAAGTTATTCTAATTAATATGAATATGAATATCAGCAAAAACAACACCAATGACAGCAGCAATGATTTTGAGCAAGTTAATAAATACCGTGTGAGAAATTCTTTTGGCATCAATAACACGATCCAACAACATCAAGACCTCCTCCTCTTGAGCGGGAAACTCAGGCAGTTTTTTACCTGTAACATTGCATAACTGCTTAGCCTCTAAAGCACTTGTTTAAAAATGCCTCCCATAAACAAAATTGCAGTTTCAAGCTTTACCTATAAGATTCTCTATCTGTAGATACCACTCCAGTTCATACTGATTTACTAGTGAGATTGCAACCCCAGATCGCCCTGCACGAGCAGTTCTACCAACACGATGAATATAATCCTGCAACATATTGAGAATCAGAAAGGTGATTGTCTTGATATGACTCCTTTCTTTCATCTACTAAAACCAGTAATACTAAGTGCATAGATGAAAAAGTTCAGATACACAACACAACATAACGAGGAGCCAGCCATATCAGAAAAATAGACACACGGGGGAGGAATCTAAGGAAGGTCCTTTTTTCTTTTTGTCTTTTTTTAAAATTAAGAAATAACATGTGGACATTGATAGTTTAGATCAAAAGAACTTGTCTACTGCAGAGAAATATGGTATGCTATTTGATAAGAGTTGGAAATCAGGGTTCTGTTTGGTATGATTTTG